GTTTGCTGGTGGATGGAGTTCTCTTGCTCTGTGTTTTACGTGAAAACTCCTCCGATTCACTGGTTCGAGCATCAGAACCAAAAATCTCTCTTATCCTTGTCGATGGGCTTGGTGGTGGTACAGGTGACTTACTGGTTCTCTTAATGGCAGTAGTGGCAGCACCTGATGGCCGTTCAGCGACGGCCTCATTTGTGGGGCGTTTCGTGGTGGGATGAACGATCACTTTAGATGAGCTGCCACCTTGTCCCCTATTTTGCGAGGCAGCAGTTGATGGCCGTTGAGCGGCGGTCTCATTTGTGGTGCCTCTCGTTGTGGGGGGAGCGGTCCCTACAGACGAGCTGCCACCTTGTCCCCTACTTTGCGTCTCATCAGTGGCATTTGTTCGATCACTGTTCTCAGGAGAAGAGGTCTCACCCGTGCTAGGCTCCGTACGGCCTTCTTGTGTTTTTGGAGTACGTTCTTCTTCCTGTATTGAAGCAGAAGTAGGAGGCTTCTGTTGAGATGATCGGACAGTATCCATCTGTGATGAGGGTGCTTCTACTGAGCTGACCTTTGATTTGGTATCAATCTTAGATTCGGGTTCCGTCGGCTGTGGTCTTGGCTTTGGTGGTGACGGTTTTTCTGCCGATTTTGGAGGTTCCTTTACTTGCGACATCACCTTCTTCAATGGAGGCACTCCCTTCAACTTGCTCACGGAACGTCCTGGTGATACCTTCCTCGGAATGGTCTCCTTAGAACCCTAAAAGATAGCGTTGTTCAACTGTAATAAATCTGGAATTCTGGTGGAATCATAGTAAAACGATTACGGAAAGTGGGAGGATCCCGGCACTCTGCTGAGGTGCCTAGGCTAAGCTAGTTTCCTCACTTTAGTAAGATCTACTAGTGCGTATGCTCTAGAATGGCTATTGATTTTACGCGGGATCAAAAAAAATCATGCTCCGATTGCATTCCTCCAACTAGTCGCCGAAGTTGTGAAAGAAGCACTTATGTATTTTTATAGTTAGAATTATCGCTTACCATGGGTGTTCGTTGCGTCATAGATTCTTGTTCGCTGATAAGATCCTGAAATAATCAGGAGAAATTTTTGGTTTAACTAAATAATGGGCAATTGGAATAGATGACAAAACCAACAAAAAAAAAACAATATTTTGTCGCTGATCAGTCCCATTTCGGGGTGAGCCATTACATTTAACTTTCATTCAGAATCGTGCTATGTTTGAATGGTTCACTGCTGATACAGTGGCTTCGGTGATCGGCCGATGTAGCCCATTACGTTCCCAGAATAAGTCTAGACCTCCTACCCTAACAACTATGGAAAATAACATTGTCTTTGATGAATACCGTTTTGAAATTTGGTCCTTGGACCATACATGCGTATGATAGCAGCGCTATTTACCCACAAAACCATATATTTCCATGCCTATGTCGCATAATAGCCTTTCTGTCCCCGCATAGCATTTGAGAGTGTTTTTATCGGGAACGGGAAGTGTTCTTGATCAGGAAATCATAACGAGGTGTGGGCGTTCGAAAATGGTAGGTGGTTCAATCATAGTAGAACCTTCTGCTGGCTGTGACTTCAGCATGATCCTCGAAGTCTTCGTCCTTTTACAGAGTCTCATTAAGTTCTGTCTCTACATGGAACGGCTGCTGGCAATGAGGAAGGGGTGTCTGGGGTGGCCTGCCTTTTCCGGGATTGCTACTCTCTTGTATTTTGCGCGAATAAACGTTTCCGAAGCATCAAGTGCTGACCTTCATCCTCAAAAAACAAATTTAATACTTATTAATAACTGGTTAATTCAACGGTACTGCTAAGAGCAGCTGGAGCTTAAAAAATATATACAGTTGAGCCTGAGCCGCTGATCGCCACTGATTACTTGCTAGTTGCCTCACCATGCGCCATGTTTAACTCGGTTGTATTAACTAGCTGTCTCGGTGATCAAGAAGCGTCGGCCAAATTCCTCGACCAGGGTGTTGAATTCTCTATACGTTTATCCTGACCATAACATGTCCTTCAGCTTCTGGATATCTTATGGTTAAAATGTCAGCGATTTGGAAGAGTTCGTAGCCAGACCCTTGGAACGCTTTGATGTGAATAATTATCGAATCGGTGAACCTTGTGTATCAACTAATAGCAAGAGATTGTTCCTGCCAAGTGCACAGTCGAATGCTACCATAACTAGGAACGAAAGTCGAATGCATGGCTCATCCGAAGAATTCTACAACTTTTATCATTTTAGTTATCCAAAAGGTCCAATAAACCACAAAAGTTTAGTTGATCGTCAAAATCTCTGATTGATTCAGAGCGTAGATTTCAAATGCGACTATCCTACAGCTACATGTTACAAGTTGAAAGCTCTTTGGTTTGGAAGGCAATGAAGAAATCTAATTATCGATTTCTGGCCTGTTTCTGTCTGAGTCGATAACTTGTGAGATGAGGTTGAAAAGACCCACATCAATGTTCTCTACGGCTGAACCAATGACCACGACTTCGTTTAGAGTTGGATCCAAAGTGACTTGGTCTAGACTTTGCGATAAGTCGTCGTCCAGAGCGTGTTTCTAAATGTATACATCATTATATCTATTTTGACGCAAAGGATATGAAGTACAAGGCTTCTCTAGACTCAGTTACAAAACAGAGCTGCCTTCGGAGGAGTATCGCCACCCGTGTATTCGCGGCAATCACCATCTTGCTCTTCTAATAATCCAAATCCTACCCCTTACATTGCTCGCGACCGCGCCAGGCAGTTCGTGTTCGAGTTCTCCTGTCTCACCTCCCTCCCTGACTTTCACCTAGTTCGAATGACGCCTTTGGAGGAAAGCAGGATAGATCTGATCAGAGGGCCCACTTTACTGTTCACTCCAACGCTCTTATATTTTCTCGGTATGGATGTATAACATATTGCTTGGGGTCCAAAGTAGCCTGGGGTTGGGACTTTTGTAATTTTGAGCGGTGTGAATAAACAAAATTGAGATCCAATAGATGGGCTCTCTAGAGAGTAAAATCTCCTTTCCTCCAGAGGGTTTCAAATTTTAAATCATAGTTCACGGTGAGGCCTATAGTATAGACTGTAAAATTAGAAAATCTTACAATATCGCCGATTTCTCCGTGCAGTTTCAGAACGCCTTTGAACTGGAACTCTGCTGGCGTTAAGTCTGCTGACGGCATTTTACGAGCTATTCGCTGCAAAATCAACTAAGTATAGTATGTGACCAAGCGACACTATCTTTTGATAGATGGCGCGAGGGGCTTATTCTTTCAAAACACATTTGTCTTTCAGAAAGCTAGAACTTCTCGAGCTAGGTCAGCGTCGCGCCCAGTAACACCTTGTATTCAGATTTCGTAGCCCGAGCATTTTTTTACAGCAACCCAGCTTGAAAACTGTAGACCTCCGTGGCCCCTGGAAACTAGGAATCGCCCAGTGACCTAATTTCGGCGACCTCGGATGGGAATCCTGACACACACTGAATACAAATGCCCTCCGCGTAGCAACCCCACGACCCAGTCCATTCCCTTTTTTGTTACATTATGGATAAACCGATTATTCAGTAAATCTCCTTATTTCGTTAGAATTGGTTACGGTAAAAATGAGTCCTGCTACTGTCAAACCGATACTTTCAGAGTAGATTTTGATCTGCCAGTGAGTTAAATCGGTTACAAAGTCCCAGTACTATCAATGTAGCAACTGTCCAATGAATAAATAAAGAGATCTACTTGTTGTTACTCACCGTCCTTGCCCTTCTCCATTGATCGACAACTGAAAATCATAAGGGTCAACTCAGAAATTTAAAAGCAAAAAAATTTGGGAGGAAATATTAGAAAATATTGATTGCAGGCCAGCACAGGTCTCCCTTAAGCAGTTACACTTGTTTATGATTGTAATCAACTAGGGTTTACTAAAAGTAATTCTACTAGCAGTTTTTACTGAGGAGCACCGCGCGCGAAGTGCGCGGGGTGACCTACTTTCGACGGACGCGCGCAACGGTCGTTTTCCCTGCATACCCATTTGTTTTCTCAGTACTTTGCTTACTTGTTTTTCCAGTTGCCCAAATTTGTTTACTTGTTCTCATTCGATTTGTCTTCTATACATTAGCTATTTTATTGAGAAGTTGGATCGCTGAGGTATGATGAGTTTCATAGCTAGCACTTACGTTCATTTCTTTCGAATCGTTCCTTTTCTTTTTTGATCTGGTAGCAACAGGTAGCCACCACTAGTAGGAACGGTACTCCGCAGAGAGGACTATAAATGGTACAAGAGTAGGTATGTGGAACGAGTACAGAACCTTTGCTAAGCTTCCTCCACCTCACAATCAGTCACTCTTGGTGGTCAGAAAACCTCCCTGAACGGCCGATCTTAAGTATTCATTGAGCATGCGAAGGCCAATCAGCAGGAACAGGGTGGGATGACATAATGAAGGCTAAGAAAAAATGCAAGGTCATAAGGTCTGTATTCATGCCGCGCAATTTAGCAGCGTGCGGCGGTCGAAACAAGTATACAACTTCCTAAACACGTTGGCGACCATGCGTCCTGATAGCAGGACGCACGTTTTTGGCTCGGTGGGGTATTTATATTATTCAGGTGTTCCTATAATTTGGCTATGAGTAAGGAAACACCAATGGGGTCTCCACACCAAGAATGGGCCGCAATGCTGCAGTTTGATCAATGTATGGAGGACCTTAGCCTTCTGTAGGTCGAAGATGAAGGCTCCGGTCATAACTGGTATAACAAGCCAAACGCGCTCTGTGAGAAATCTGCAGCGTCGACTGATCACTATTTCCCCTAGTGACGAGCGGCAATTAGCAAATTTTCGCAGACGATACCGTATGAATACCCCCTGAATCTCTTAGGAGTGTTTTCCGTAGAATCATGTCGCATGTACTTTGAGGTACTGAGATAATTCATCCTTCGTAACTTTATTTTATAGTAATCCAGCAATCAAAGAAACGTTGTGAACCTACATAAGGTAAA